ACGCACACACGCGCACACTCACACACACATACACACACACGCGCACACACACACACATACACACACACGCGCGCACACTCACACACACAAGCACACGCACACGCACACGCGCACGCGCACACGCACACGCACACACACACACACACACGCACACCCCGTCATGGCCGACTCTAAAGGGTTAAAGGTTCAAATCTGCTGCAGCTGTCAAACTAAAACAACAAATTAAATGCAAAAACTGCAGCAAATCTAAACCCTAAACGTCAGCGGCTCTCCAATTCATCTCACAGCAGCATGAACATAAAAGCAAAATCATATCAATAAAACAATGCAATGACATGGAAACAAGGGGGTCAAAGACAGTGGGGTCAAAAAGTCTCAAAGCACCACCTTTTTTCAAATTTAACACAAGATATCTGAATGTCTTAGTATCAACTGAGTTTAAATGAAGTATCTATTGGTCAAATAGGGCTGCACGATTAATCGAAATAAAACTGAAATCACAATAATCGCTTAGTGCAATTATCAAAATGCAAAGGCTATTATTTAATTAAATAAATATATACGCTGTGTGTTGCATTTACATGCTTTAAGGGCTTCCTGTGGTTTTGCGTCAAGATAAAAGTTCAATGGTTTAAAGTTTGAAAATTATTTAAGACAACCATAAATATTAGTATTGTACTTTTACAGTTATGATGTAGAATACATTTTTTTTCCTCATGTTTATATCCTCATTTTGTTTTGTTTTTATTTTACCATTTATATTTGTTTTTAGTAATTTTTTTAATATTTTTATTTAGTAATAGTATTAATTTAGTAATTATTATTTATTATATTATTATTTAATATAATAAATTCTTCTTATTTATGATCAATTATTATTATAAATAATAATTTTATAATTTAGCAATTATTATTATTATTATTATTATTATCATCACAAAAATCACCCTAGCCCAATAGCAATATTTTTTGTTTTATTTTTATTTAGTAATTTCAATATTTTTATTTAGTAATAATAATAATAATTTTAATTTTATATAATCACAATATTATCACAGAATTTTTGGGCAAATTGTGCAGTCCTAGTCCAATAGCAATATTTCCTATTTTGTTTTTATTTAGTAATAATAATAATTATTATTTTATATAATCCCAACATTATCTACACATTATATAGCATTATATTTGGCACAGCAAACCTGGATTTTTTTCTTCTTTAAATTGCATTTTAAATTGCAATCACATTTATTCTCAGAAAATAAACCTGGCATTGCATATTACAAATATTGCTGGTTCCTTGAAGAATTGCTTTTGTTCCTCTTTCTTAAGTCGCTTTGTATAAAAGCATCTGCTAAATGCAAAAAGAGTAAATGGATTTCAATGTGGTCTCAGATTTTTTGGACTTCACTGTGTGTGATTCATCTAAAAAAAACATAATATCAACAAAAGTACATTTATTTAAACCCCCAAAAAGAAACTTGTGTGTGTGTGTGTGTGTGTGTGTGTGTGTGTGTGTGTGTTTATGTGTGAGTGTGTGTGTGTGTGTGAGTGACACATACAGCAAAATAAGTCCATCCATACTAAATGAACAGAAAGAAGAGGGTGAAACAAATTCAAACTGAACTAAAGAAACGAATGTCCTCGCCTCAGTAAATCTAGACTTCAGCAATGACGACACAGATTGAGGAATACAGACGCTCAACTAACTAAACTGGGTTAAACTAACTAAACTTCACCAGATTAAACCCTGAACGCTGCTCAGAAACTGGACGTATTCATACGAGGAGGAGAGGAAAACCTCTCTAGATGTAGAGTCGATGACGTCTGGAAGTCGTTTCGGATGTAAGTGCCTGCTAAATGAAGGATTAATACGAAAAAAATACAGTCTTTCAAGCAAACCCCCCAAAATCAACAGAAAATGATGTTTTTGTTTTTTTCAGACTAGTGCGGCCTTAACTGTCACCGTCGCACCTGAGATACGCTTGGCGCTCTTTTATTTTGTTGTCCTTTTTCTCTATCAAATATTTTAGTAATCATCATAAATTATATATCGTTGAAAGCTTAGAAGCCCAAGATTCATCCTGTGAAACCCAGGCGGTCTCCTCCCCCTTAGCGGGGGGTGTCAAGCGTCATATTACAAAATGCATTACGGACTTTTACAATCAAAACTTTTTATAATCTTGACAAAAACATATCTGGTCTGAGTCTCAGGATTCAGGAGGTTATTTTGTGATAGAAGTAATATTGACAGAGAAATCTAGACCTTTGTGACAAATGTATGTGCTGTACATGTGGAAGAATTGACAATAAAGCAGACTTGACTTGACTTGACGAGAAAAAAAATGCATTAAAAAAATTCAATGGAGTTTTGGTGGCACCCGGTGGCTGTTTGTGGTATAACGCCCTAAATTAAATCTCACAAGAACCTGTTTTTTTTTCATATCAACTTCAAATTTGGAACATAACTTATTTAGACATAAGGCTTTACTTTTTTAGCAATTTTAGAGTAAACCTGTTATGTAAAATGTATTTTATAAAACATATAATTAAAATTGTACAGTGCATTTTCTTTACAGTAAATTTAAACTTCTATAACTTTTTGATATTTTAATTTTTTTAAATAATTCCAATTCTGCAATAATCTGCTGACTGTTTTCTTTAAAAAATAGGCCAACCTTTCATCAATATTCCAAAGTGTTCATGAATTATAACAATTTAAGTTTGGATAGTGCACTATTTTAAAAAATTTGGGGTGGCAGTTAAAGGGTTAATACGTTTCCAGTGGTTCAAGCTTCATAAAGGTACATGCTGTATGTAATCATGTAGGGAATGCACATTTTCAGCTCTTTATCTGAGCTCATGTACAAAACTGTGAACCGTTTCACCCACTGCTTACTGTAAACATGAGTTAATCGTACGAATCTGTTCACGTATTCGAATGAAACTAATACTAACGCGACTTTAAAACGATGGAGGATTTCTATTGTAGATTCCATGGCAGCTACTAAAATATGTTTTTTTAGTTTGTTTTGGTTTTATATAACTGGCGAGCTCCCACGGTTTCTGCCACTTGCCTCAAACGATCTCTCAAAGTTGTGGAACTCCTTCAGTCGCTCCTGAAACCCTTCAGCTAAAGCGCCACCTGTAAACACACACACACACACACGCATCTTTATTATGCCCTGTAATCTAATTATAACAGTTTATTTCATGCATGTTAAAGGAAACCAGTTGTGCAACCCACCAATAACGTTAGGGCACTACGACTAACAATTCAACCTCTAGAAATATATTCACGCTCAGTCTGAATAACCCTTTAGGAACGCTTGCAAATTTGGATTTCACAAACCACAAAGCCAGCCATGTACTGTACTGTTTGATAATGCTTGCAGTAGGAATACATTTCTCTTTTTATCACATACAGCATTTTTTTTTCTGGTATATAGATATACAAAAATATATTCCTAAAATCAAATTTAAAATACATATATATTTTAATAAATATATAAATAAATATATATTTAGATAATTAATAATAATATTTAATATAAGTTACTAAAAGATTTTCAATCCGAATATATTTATATTGTCCAAATAAATAAATAAATTGAATAGAAACATATATATCCAACACAGCAAGTTTGCATCATCACAAAAATATTTTAATATAATTAGCAATGTTTCGGTCAATTGTCCTTCCTCAGGCTTTACTCAAAATTTATTTTAAGAATGGAAATGTTATTTCCTTGCCCCTTAAAGTGCATTTTGTAACATATTTTGGCATTTGAAGGTTTAAACTAAATATATTTTCAATAAAAAAAAATTCTAAATTTATTATATATATATATATATGTGTGTGACCCTGGAGCACAAAACCAGTCATAAGGGTCCATTTTTTTAAACTGAGATGTATACATCATCTGAAAGCTGAATAAATAAGCTTTCCATTGATGTATGGTTTG